ACCCAACTTCATGATGTATGTGAAAGAAACAAAACAAATTCTTTCATAAACATAAAGGCATCCTAAGCAAATGCTAGCAAAAAGAAAGCAAGCGTTGTGATCTTGATTTAAAAAAATCATAAATTTTTGCTAAAAGGCATTAAATCAAAAACTTTTTTTTTTTTTACTGCTAGAGATTCTATCACCAAATGAAGTATTGTGGTTTAGATATGAGGAGTTTCCCAAAAGCCCATGTGTAAGACAATGCAAGAATGTTCAGAAGTAAAATGATTAGATTATGAGAGCCATGACCTAGCTCTGATTAATTAATTAATTTACTCATACAGATTAATCTGATGATAAGTGTAGATAGGTAGGTTGTGGCTAGAAAAAAGTAGGTCACTGAGGGCATGCCCTTGAGGTTTATGTTTTGTCCCTGGTAAGCCAGAGCATTCTCTCTACTTCCTGGTTGCCATGTCCTGAGCTGCTTTTCTCTGCCATAGCCTTCTGCCATAATGTGCTGTCTCACCCCTGGCCCAGAGGTATGGAGTTAGTTGACCATGGACTGAACCTCTGAAAACATAAGCCAAAATAATTTTTTCCTCCTCTACGTTGACCTTGTCAGATATTTTGCTCACAGCAACAAACTAGCATGAAGATATGACCAAAATAACATAATAGTATAGATCTTATGACAATTTTAATTTTAATAATAGACAATGCACTATTTTTCAAGCATTCATAAAACAGTCACAAAAACTGGGCATAAATTAAGCAACAAAGAAAACTTTATTATAAAGTTCCATAAAGAAAAAATATCATAAATAATATTCTCAGGTAAGAAGGCATTAAAACTAGAAATTGATAACAAATTCACTTATTACAAAATGATTCTTATATCAAAGGAGAAACACAAACTAGAATTGTTAAATTTCCAGAAAATGATGATAATGAATATTCTACATATAAGAATCTATGGGATACAATTAAAGCATACATCAGAAGAAAATTTAGAGCCTTAAATACTAATAGTAATATAACTTAAAAACTGAAAACAAATCCTAGAAGAAAACATAAGGTCAACACTCCAGCATATACACACAGGCAACAACTTTCTCAGTATGAACCTTAAAGCTTAGGAAATAATGCCAAGAATTAATATATAAGACAGCATCAAATTAAAAAGATCTGCAATTGGAAACAACTGGGAATATGAAAAGACAACCTACAGAATGGAAGAAAATCTTTGTTAGCTACTCTTCTAACAGAGGATTAATATCTAGAATACAGAAAGAGTTCCAAAAACTTTTTGCCAAAAAAAAATCAAATAACTCAATTAATAAATGGACAAATGAATTAAACAGAAAGTTCACAAAAGAAATACAAATGGCCAATAAATATATGAAAAAATGTTCAACATCATTAGTAATTAGGGAAATGCAAATCAAAACTACACTGAGATTTCATAACATACCAGTCAGAATGGCAGTCATCAAGGATATAAATAATAATAAATGCTGAAGAGGATGTCAAGAAAAAGGAACACGTTTACACTGTTGGTATAAATTAGTAAAATTACTATGGAAACCAGTATGGATGTTCCTCAAAGACTACACATGTAACCACCATTGACCCAACTATACCACACTTTGGTATTTATCATCAAGATTTAAAGTAATCACAATACAGTGATATATTCATACCCAGTGTTGATAGCACAATTCACAATAGCCAAACTATAGAATCAGCCTAGGTGTCCATCAACAGATGGATGGGTGAAGAAAACGTGGTATACACACACACACACACACACACACACACACACATACATACAATGGAATTTTATTCAGCAATTTTAAAAAATGAAATTATGTCATTTGTAGGAAAAAGGATTGAACTAGAGACCATTATATTAAGCAAAACATACCAAACTCAGAAGGTCAAGATTCATATGTTTTCTCTCATGCATGAAAGCTAGAGAGAAATTGGGAAGCTAGAGAGGAAAAAGGAAAAGAAAGGTGGGGGTGGATTTCAAGGAAATCAAAAGGACCAAGAAGTAGAAAGTGCTGAGGGAGGGGGGATGCAGGGGAGTGACACTGGCCAAACTATACTCTCATATTATGTACATGTACGAATATGCAACAACAAATTTCACCATTATGTACAACTGTAATACACAAATTTAAAAATGTGGAAAAAATGAAACAAAAAAACAAATAGCATTATACTAAAAAAGTTATAAAAAAGCAAAGTAGCAAAAATAAAGTAAAAGGAAAATACAATATAAACAAGAATTGAATTAGAACACCAAAAGAGAGCTGGGGGAAGCTCAGTAGTAGAGCACTTGACTAGCACGCATGAGGACCTGGATTTAATCCCCAGTTCAGGGGTTCAAACAAAAAAAACCTAGAATTAATAAACAAAATAATTCACTGGGAAAGAATATCAACAAATTACTAACTTAATAAAAATAAGAATGGCAGAATTATATAAAATAAGTTGAAAAACATAGAAAAGAGATAATTTACTCAAGTCATAACAGACTTTATTCAACTTCACGTAAATAAATATCAAAATCTTTTAAAATGAAAAATTTCTGAAAATTTAATATTTTTTAAAAAATAGATAATTTTGGCTCTTGGAGAAAGTTGCTAAAGCCCTTTATTGGGTGAGGTGAAAGTTTAAACAGAACAATTTCCATAGAGGAAACTTATAACTTTTTCTAGGAACTACCACCTAAAAGAATCACCATGCCCAAGAGATTTAACAGAGGAACATTCAAAGGCCAGAAAATTCATTGCTACTTAAACTACTCCAGAACAAAGAAAGAGAAAGAAGATGATATATTTTATGAAGTAAATATAATACCCAAGCATGATAAACAATATGCACACACACACAACTAGTAGCTGATCTCACAAATACTGATGTATTCCTGCAAATCCATGAATCTAATTCACCACAAATAATCAATGTATTGGAAATATGTGGTAATCACCACCTTCATCACATATTCAACTTAGAACCATGGAATTATGAATGAACCTTTTGATGACCTCAGCATCATCTACAAAGTATACTCTTATCAAGAATGTTTAATTTGAATCTAATCAAGGTTTTAGACCAAGTTTCAAGTTTACAGAAAATTCACTAAATAAATGAACAAATTATTCCATGAGAATACAACTCAGATGAAACTAAAAATGTATTATATACAACGAGTCAACTGCCTGATCACTTCAATAAATCAATTCTATGAAGAAAAATTAAGTAGAAAAAGTAGTTGAAAATATAACAATATACATAAATTTTGACTACAATTTGATTCAAAGAAGAGTGATAAAAGCCATCTTAGGACAATATGAACTAGTTGGCATTAAGCAATAATTATTAATTTTCTTATGTGTGATAATGTTATAATTATGCAAAATATCCTTGTTTTAGGAGACACATGCCAAAGTATTTAGGATTAAAGCAGGGTGATTCCTACAACATGCTTCTACATGTTGTGCACACACACACACACACACACACACACACACAAACCTACGTACATAAACCTATATTCACATACAAATAAAGTGAAAATGGTCAAATGTTAACTGTTGACTCTAGTTAATGGTTACAAAGAGTTTCTGTCGAAAAGTAAGCACATAACTACAAAAGTGATCATGTAAGTACTAAAAGTAAGTAAATCATAGCACACTTCATTTAAAGGATTTTTAAAGTTTGATATGAGTGACACAAATTTTTAGCATATATTTTCAAAACCAACATTCATGTTTTGAAATGATCAGGAAGTTACAATCACCAGAAGAACTCTTATTACTTAGAGGGGAACAAAATTATAATACTTAACACATATATAATACTTAACTAAGTGCAGGTACCAGTCTAAGTGAAGTGTAAAACTACACATATTAACTCAGTTATCTAAACAACCTAGCAAATCCATTATCACTATTTCCATTTTTCAGGTAAGGAATAAGCCAAAGAGGTGACAAATTAGGTGGCACAGCCAGACTGCCAAAACCACACAGTACAGCTCCAGATCCACACTTTAGCTACCACCCCATACTGTCCTCTAAGATAAAGGATTTTTTTCCTGATGTTGCCGACTTGGTTTTTCAGAGGCTATAACATCCACCATCTCTTTGAACTTAGTAAATCTAACAAATCCATAAGTATTCTGATAAACCAGAGAACTGCAAAAATTTAGATAACATTACATTTACAAAAGTGCAGTAAGAATGGCTTTAGGTGATTTAAGTAAATATTTGGTTATCTGAGATCTATTCATATTCTAAAATGGAATCAATGACTACAGTAACCATCTTTATAAATTAAGAAGTTTAAACCCATGATCCCATTTGATTCCCTGGAACAAAAATGGATAATTTCTCAACAATAAAATAATTACTCATGTGATGACAGTCTCTTCTACAAAAACTTTAATTTCAACTAAATGATTGAACAGATTATATAAGTTTGTAGCATTCAGTACAAATCTTATTAATTCACAAAGAAAATTCCAAGTTCCTGAAAAATCAAAATACTTTTTCATGCCAGGATGCCTTAAAAATAATAATAATTCATATAACAAAGATCATTCAATGATCCTAAAACAAAGTATAGATCTAGATGATAATAGAAAGCTATTATTAATTTTGTTAGGTGTAATAATGGTATTATAGCTATAGAAAAAAATCATTCATGAATTTGCATATACCATGTTTTAGGTAGGCCATATTATAGAAGCCTCTAATTTTTTAGTAAAAGAGAAGCAAATGAGTATTATTGCTCTAAATATCAAACTTTATATTTTATAAACTTATAATAAAAATAATAATATAAAATTAATTTTTATTCAAGTACACCTGCAGAATTGAAAAAATATGTCTGAAAATATTGCTCATTCATGGACTATAATAAGAGATAAGCAAAAAAAATAATAACTCTAGTTGAAGTAGAGAATGGGTAATCAGTTCTATTAGATATGCAGTAGATATGTAGAATTTTACCTGCTTTTTCTTTCAATTAGAATGGCCATATAAGATGCTGGTAAAGCGGCACCAAAGCCAGGAGTCCATGAGTAGAATTTTCCAAGTATCTTCCTGAAATTCAAATTTGGAATTTTTGTATGAAATTCCTAGTTGGTCATTTCAGTCAAGTTTCCCTTCTTAGTCTACCCTCTATACTTCAAATCAGCATGTCCAAAACCAAACTCATTGTCTCTCTTCCCTAACCCTGCAAACTTGTTCTTCCTCTTTTATTTTTCCAAGTGGCATCAACAATTAACCATGTATTATGTTTGACACTTAGAGTCATTTTCAGCTTCCTATTTCCCTTACCCAATATACTAAATCATGCCCTTAAATTACTGCATATACAATTCATCTCTCAAATTTCTCTCCAACCTACAGTCCGTCTTGGTTAAGTCTTCCAACATCTTTTATAAAGGCCACTGCAATACCAAACTAATGGATTTGCTAGTCTTCTAACCTAATTTCCTTCTAATAATTTAGTCAATCATGTTTATTCAGGCATTCCTTCAATGTAAACCTACTGGCTATGCAAATCTTCTGGGTTTTTTATTTATCATGTAGGAATGATAATACTACCTGTCTCATTAGAGCTATTGTGAGGACTACTTAAGATATTTCTCAGCAACACACAGGGCACACAGGAGGAACTCAAAGTATTAGAATAGTGCCCTGAACTTTATATATGACCATCAGCTGCTTGAGTTTTTAAAGAGGTTAAAAAAAAAAAAAACAGAAATCTGGAAACATTAGGAAGACTCTTCTTCCTTAAACACAATGTTTCTGGGCTGGGGATGTGGCTCAAGCGGTAGCGCTCGCCTGGCATGCATGCAGCCCGGGTTCGATCCTCAGCACCACATACAAAGATGTTGTGTCCCCTGAAAACTAAAAAATAAATATTAAAATTCTCTCTCTCTCTACCTCTCTCTCACACTCTCTCTCTAAAAAAAAACAAAAAACAATGTTTCTAAGAAAGGGAAAGTAATATGTACAAATTATCAGAAATTATCTGAACAAAGTGGACCAATTGATAAATGATGCATGATAGGAAAAAAAATAGAGAGATTAGGATTAAAAATGATGGACAAGGACTATGGCTGTAGTTCAATGGCACAGCGCTTGCCTAGCATGTGTGAGGCATTGGGTTTGATCCTTAGCACCACATAAAAATAAACAAATAAAATAAAAGCATTCTGTCCATCTACAACTACAAAAAAAAATTTAACAAAAAAACAACAGATAGATCTTAAGGACTGGAAAAACTACCGTAAATACTTAACCTAGGTATTTCTAAAATGGACAACACAAACCTGCCTGAGAACACTAGAGGTTGTTTTCCCTCCAATATAAAATCCACAAAGGACTTATTGAATATAAAATCTAAGGGAAAATTAAAATAAATTCATTGAATCAGTTATAGGAAGACCATGGATGTTATCTTAATAATAGTTAATTATAATATATCACACAAATAATTATTAAGTATAAATATTTTATGATTCTATAACTTAACCAAACAGGTTCACAGAACATAAAGAAATATGCTGCAATAGCAAATTGGTGCAATTTTTTAAAATCTTATTATTTATAACTTTATTTTAGAGCTTTAACAAGTCTTTGAAACTTTACAGAGACCACATGATGAAGAAAATTCCTTACATAGATTTTCATGTCAATTTAAAGACATGATTTGCTTAACAGTATGAAAACACCACCAGTTATTTTCTTCATCATCTAAAAGTTTACAAATACTAATACATTGAGGAAAAGTCTATAAAAGATATTTGAAAATTAAATATTTAATTGCAGTTAAAATATATAGAACTACTTTGGGCAACAACTTGACAAATAAAAAATAGTTTATTTTTAACACTCAGTGTGGTGGAAAATATAAAAAGTAAGTATGTAATAAATGTTAGGTTTGTCACAGTACTCAAAAGACTAAATTCTATCTGCATCTATAATGCTTTAGCATGAAGCACAGGTAATGCTACAAAACTGAATCAGAACCAAACGTTCCAGCAATAGGCTATATCAGGAGTTAACTTTTTTTTTTTTCATAAACACATGCATTTTGTATTCCTTTTGAAGTTTGTTCACTGCCCTAACCTATATCAAGGTCACTTTGAATGCATGATTTATGAAACTAAAGAGCTAAGAAATTCCAATTAACAAATTGAAATTAAAACAGAACTCAGAAAATATATAATATACAAAAGTATTTTTGTTATATAATCATGCTAATAATTTGAAATATATATAATATCTTGAGACCAAGAAGCCCACAGCTCCGGTTTTTTGGGTTTTGGTTTTTGGTTTTTGTTTTTGGGTGGGGAGAGGAATACCAGAGATTGAACACAGGGGCACTCAACCACAGAGCCACATCCCAGACCTATTTTCTATTTTATTTAGAGATAGGGTCTCACTGAGTTGCTTACGCCTTTGCTGAGGCTGCCTTTGAACTCGAAATTCTCCACCTCAGCCTCCAGAGCCTTGGGATTACAGGAAGCTCCACTGAACCCAGCAGCTTCTGATTTTATAAACTATCTTTGAAACAAATGTCATTTCACAGGGTTAAAAAAATAGAAATAAAAGCAGTGACCTACACAATGGTTATATAAACATCTGTTTGTTTCCATTTCAACAACAGAATTTGTATTAATATCTAGTGGTGATTTTGAGTACCAACCTTAAAGTGCAAAAGAAAGTAATATACAAGGCCCCATTAGCAGTCAGAAATGAAGCAGATTGTAGGATCTCAGGGAGTAGTTTGTACAAATAATAGTCTAATTTTCGTTTCCGGAGAATTGCTGCAATCTGGAAAGAGAAAGGCTTTTTTGTTTAATCCAAACAACTATTATTAGCTTAAATTAGCTCTTATGTGGAAGCTACTGAATAAAACATGTATTTAAAAATAAAAGTAAAAACTATGGCATTGTACTTGCTCCTTTATAAAAATATAATTTCAAGGACAGAAAGGAGATACTTGAATTTACTAAGGATAAAATACACACCAAGAAATTACAACTTGGATCATGTAATGAACATATTAAACTGAAAAAATGAAAACTGGAAAAAAAATTAAAATTCTAATAAAATATGATGCTATAACAAAACTACATTACAGATTTTACAAGCCTACCATTATTAGAGAATTTTAAGGATAGAAAACAGAAAAAGAAATTATTCAGTTATTCAAACATGACTATTATAAGGGAAAAAATGATAGAAATACAAAATTAACAAAGTTAATAATTTCTGGCTTCCTGGAGCCCATGTAAAACGATCAAATAAACCATTACTAAGAATATAAGAATAACACAGGTAAGCACCACATGACCCTAGAATACAGAAAGAATAATACCTAGACAGAGAATTGCAGAAGATTATGACAGTAATCTTTTATTATACACCAAATATACCAAAGTGCTGGGGGAAGGAGGGAGGATGAAGAGGAGAAAACTTCATCTGAAATATATCTGAGCCCACAAACTCATGGTGTGCTTCAAGTTACTTGTGCAGACAACTGCAAAATTAAACTCAATAAAATGAATGCAATCTCAAAAGAAATCAACCTCTCAGTCTTTATGACATAGCTTTTAAATTTAAATTGAAAACTTTGAATTTTAATTATTTAACTATTATTTATTTATTAATTATTTTAATGGCTAATTTCCCTAGCAATATATCAAAATAAAAAGATGATATTTAGTTATTGATCACACTTTTAATGTTATAAAAAATAAAACAAAATAAATCACAATATGCTCAAAATGTGGATTATAGATATTTAAGAATGATTAAGTATTAGGAATAATACTTAATCATTCTTAAATTCACAGGTACCACAGAAATTTAGCAAAGTGAATTTAATATAAAGTAGGCAGAAGTTTCATGGAAAAGGGGACATAAGCTGGATTTAGAAGAATAGAATTCTCACAAGTCATGAGAAGGAATACCTTTTTATCACAATGAAACAGTATATCAAAGGAATGAGTATTAGAACAGGATCAGGGAATGACTGAGGAGGTGTAAAAAAAAAAAAAAAGGCAAAAATGACTGCAGCACAAGAAAACTCTCCATTCACTCCCTATCTTTCTGGAGATAACACTTTCCCTAAGGTCAGTGATCAACAAATCTAATGGCCTCTTCTAAGTTCTTCTGATGACCCCCTTGAAGTCTCTGAAACTGACCCCCTCCTATTTTAATTCAACATATGGAAAACAATGGTGAATAAGTCTTAATCCTTGTTTTCAAGGAATATAAAATTTTGATAGCAACAAAAACATATATAATAACCTAAAATTTGGCAGTATGGGAAATGTTACAAGAAGAGACATACGGGAGGAAGTTGGGAAGGGCAAGTGATAATGTCAGGAAGATTTAACTGGACTTTTAATATGAATCTTGACAGGTAGAATTTTAACAGGTGAGAAGTTTCTATGAAAGTACATTCTTTTCATTTCTCAATTATCTACCTAAAGGCTATTCCTTCTTAGCAATTTGCTATCAAGTCTCTATACTCATTCTACATGTGCTCTCTCCCATAGTATCACCTATCATCTGAATGTAGGAATTCCTAACCTGTCCCCTAAAATGTAAATCCATACTTTAAATGTGTACTGGGCATGTCAGTATAGATATTCAATGAACACCAAAAAATCAAAGAGTCCAAAGGACAATTCATTGTATTTCCCAAATGCATTTTTACTTCTGAATTCCCTATCCCAAATAGGAATAAAATGTTGGTGTCATTTTTAATTCTTCCTTCATCCTCAGCCATTGCCTCAGTTTCTTTTATCTTCAGGATTTCAAATGCAATGTGTCTTTATTTTAGACTTAACAATGGACAGAAACTGGCAGAGTTATACATTCAAGTAATTACACATCAGAGGATACAAGATAAAATATCCAAAAATCAATAGCATTTTTATGTAAGAGCAATGAACACATACACATAAATATGACATTTATAACTCCTCAAAAAGATGAAATACTTGGGTACAAATCTTCCAACACATTTTTAACATTTGTATGCTGAAAATACACAACACTAATGAGAGAAATAAAAGAAGATGTACATAAGTGGAGAGGTAATCTGTATTAGTCAGCTTTCCATTACTATGATAAAATGTCTGAAATAAATAACTTATAAGGAAGAAAAGTTTATTTTGGCTTGCTTTCCATTACCATGATAAAATGTCTGAAATAAATAACTTATAAGGAAGAAAAGTTTATTTTGGCTTACAGTTTCAATCAATGGTCAGTTTGCTCCATTGCTTTGGTTTCTGGGGTAGGAACATGTGGCAGAAGAAACTGCTCACTTCTTGAGAAAGACAGGCAGTGGCTAGAGACCCAATAATCACATTCAAAGGTACATGGCCAATAATCTAAATTCCTTTCACTAGACTGCCCCTACTAAAAGGTCTTCTACCTCAAAATAGCAACCTAGACTGGGGACCAAGCCTTAAATCATGGACCTTTGGGGAATATTCAAGATCTAAACTATAGTGACTGGGGTTGTATCTCAGTGGTAGAGAGTTTGTCTGTCATGTGTGAGACACTGGGTTCAATTCTCAGCACCACATATAAATAAATAAAGTTCCATTGACAAACTTAAAAAAAAATTCTAAAGAAATATTTATAAACTTCAGTGTGGAGCTGGGGATAAAGTTCAGTTGGTAGAGTACTTGTCTCACAAGCACAAGGCCCTGGGTTCAATCTCCAGCACCAAATAAATAAATAAATAAATACAGCAATTTCCATGTTCATGGATTAGAAGATTCAATATGGTAAAAATGTCATAAATTATAAACTAATAAAAATATATAAATAAAATATAAGCTAAATAATTAATAGGCAGATCTAACAATTCTTATCAAAATCCAAGGATTTCTATAGATACAGACAAGAGTATTCTAAAATTTATAAAGAAAAGCAAATGAATTAAAATAGCTTTGAAAAAAGTTTTTAAAAAGAAGAAATAAGTCTGATTTTAAGATATTGTTACATAGCTACAGTATCTGACCATGTAATATTGGCAGACATGGACAAATAGATGAATAGAACAGAATAGAGAACTCATAAATTCATGGAAATATATTCAGTTAATACAGTTAAATTTTTCCAAATGTACAAAAGCAAGTTCATGGGAGAAAGATAGTCTTTTCAACACATGGTGCTAGAGTAAGAGGGCATACATTAAAAAAAGAAAAGAGAAAAAAGAAAACCTTAAGACTTACACTTTGTGCAAAAATTAATTCAAAATGAATCATAGACATAAATGTAAAATATAAAACCACAAAACTTTTAGGAAAAAAAAATGAAGACAACCTTATAGCCACAGGATAGATAACAAGTTTTTAGACTTGACATTAAAATCATAATTCATAAAAGGAAAATTTGATTAACTGAACTTCATCAAAATTAAAACTTTTTCTCTCTGAAAGACCTATTAGGAGGACAAAAAGACAAGCTACAGAATAGGAGAAAATACTTGCAAATCACATAGCTAATAAAGGTTAATATCTAGAATAAATATAGAAATCTTAAAACTCAACATTAAAAAACACAATCCATTTAGGAAACAGGCAAAAGATAATGAACAGACATTTCCCTACACAAAAACATACAGATCATATATAACCACCAAGCTTGGTATACACATCTATAATCCCAGCAACTCAGGAGGCTGAGGCAGGAGGATTGCAAATTTAAAACTATAATGAACTATCACTATAAAATTGTCAGAATGGCTAAAATAAAAAAAACAGTGACAACACCAAATTCGAGCTAGCAGGACATTAGAGAACTAGTTCACCTCTTCATTGATAGTCCAAATGTGAAATGATAAAGCCATTCTGGAAAACAGTTTGGAAGTTTCTTGAAAAACTAACCAAGCAATTACCATATGACTTCTAATTGTAGTTCTGGGTACTATCTCTGAGAAATGAAAATTTATGTTTACACAAAAATCTGGGCACAAATATTTATAGCACTTTTGTTCAGTTTTTTCCCCAAACTGGAAACAACTCATGTGCTCTTCAACAGGGGAACAGTTTAACAAACCATGATATAACCATTCCATGGAGTAAATAGTACTCAGCAATAAAAAGGCCCAATCTAGTGATATATCAAATGACCTTGATGAATTTCCAGAAAATTATGTTGAGTGAAAAAGCCAATCCCAAAGGAGACATACTTTATGATTCACTCCTATAATATTCTTGAAATGACAAAATTATAGAAATGCAAAATAACTCAGTAGTTAAGGGATTAAGGTGATATTGGTAAATAGAAGGGGAGTAAGTATGGCTCTACAAGGACAAAACTAGGGATTCTTGCCATCATGGAAATGTTCTGTGTCTTGACTGTATACATGGTAATATTTTATTGTAATATTGTATTATTGTTTTGCAAGATGACAGCATTGGAAGAAGATCTCTATAATTTCTTTCAAATGCATGTGAATCACAATTATCTCAAAATAATAATAAAAAGGTCAATTTATCTTTAAAAACAGTTTATGCACATAGCCAACAGGCATATGAAATATTCTTAGCACCATTAGTCATCAGAGAAGTGCACAATGAAATACCACTACACACCCACCAGAACTTCTAAAATGAAAAGGATAGATAATGTACAGTGCAGGTGGGAATGAAAGGCACCACAACTCTCAAATATTTCTGGTGACATTGTAAAATGGCTGTTACTTTGGAAAACTGACAGTATCTAATGAAAATAAGTGTTTATCTATCTATTATAGGACCCAGCAATTGTATTTCTGGAAAAAATATCCAAAAGCAATAGTGCTT